AGAATGCAACCATTTGTCTCTTATCTACCTATGACCTGGAAGACCCCTCCCCGCTTGGTTTGTCCCACCTTCTGGGTTCACATCTATTAGTTCTATTTCGCTAATACACTCTCCCTCCACCAAAAGTAACTAATACCTTTGGTTCAAACCCAGCAAACAGATCCCAGCATATGTCCCATGAAAACGAAGTGACACAGGGCACGTGGAGAGTGATGACTTACACGGTAAAAGGGACAGAGAGCAAAGGAAAATGTCAGGTATGGGCAGAAAGGTCACCGAACAGATAAAAATGAACAAATGAGATCAGGGAAGACAGCCTGAAAGTAAAGAAATACGAAGGAACCCTCAAAGGAAAAGAAAGAACAGTGTGATACCATAACTATTCTCTTTCTGAGTTTCTGATGTTCCAATCAGTTCATGAGCAATGTCTCATTTAGTCCTCACAGTAAAGGTATTATTATGCCCATTTTATATTGTTGTAACCAAGCGAGCACGAAATCACCACTGAGACAAAGACTAGGCCAAATTACAGGGTCTTTATTGCCGGTGGCCACGGAGGACTCCCATCTCTCTAACGCAAGGCCCCAAAAGAAGGGTGTCAAGGCCTTTTATGCCCGTTAACCACCTCCCGGGCGAGGGTGAGGGCCAGGGGACTTTGGACATTCCGTAAACCACCTCCTGGGCTGGGGGTGAGGATGAGGGGCTCTGGACATTCCGAGGGCCAGGGGACTTTGGACACTCCGATTGTTACTTAGGTAGTTCACAGAAGTCCAGATAAGCGTTAGTTTACACATTGCCTGGGTAGGGTGGAAATCACAGACCTCAGTTACTTATTACAAGTCACAGGGGCCAAGATGGCAGGGGTTTGGACTGCTTGCCTGTCACATTAGGGTTATAGAGAGCAGTTTCAACGCAAAGCGGAGGTATGGTCGAGGTACGCAGTTTACGGGGCAATTACCATGTCACAATATGATGCACACTAGGGTTCAGAGATGGGAGATATTGGGCCGAGGCCCTAATGCTGATGATGGATGCAAGAGCCAGTATTCAAACCTAACACTGCCCTTTTCTACCATGCTGCAGCAGACAATGCAAAGAAAATAAAATATCAAGAAAAACACGTCGATGTATCCAAAACAATCACACAAAAGGTAAAAAACAGAAAACAAAAAGAAAAACCTTGCAGAAGGAATACGTATAAATGAAAAGCCTAAGATATTAACTTATTCGCTTGCAGAGTAGGGTTGGGGATCGCGGAAGGAAGCCGTGGGGTCCAAAGCTTCTTTGCACTGGGTCCTTGGTAAACACCCGAACCGCAATCCACGGAGAGCGAAGAGAGAAGACCAAACCTCCCACAGCCTAGAAAGGCTCCAGCGCGCCGAGAAGGCGGGGCTAGCGTTCGCTTCCGGTTCCGGGCGCAAAGGCCCCACGTGTTCCGACCCGCTAGGCCCCGCGCGGCTCGGATCCGGCGGCGCTGTTTCGGTCAGGAGTGGGTGGGAGAGAAGCCGGGGCAGGGGAGGAGCCGCCGGAGCTGTCGGAGCCGTGAGTGCTGAGGGGCCTGGACCGGGCCGGGCTGGGCCGGGCCGGACCAGATGGGGCAGAGCGGGGCAGGGCAGGGCGGGGAGGAGAGGGAGGGACCGGAGACCCCGCCCCCCAGAGCCTGGGGAAATCACCGTGTCCTGGGGAAGGGGCGGCGGCGGTGTACTAAGGGGGCCGAGACGTTGTGGCCTCTGTGTTTCCTGGTGGCGGGAGCCAGTGTCTCCGGGGACGCGGATGGTGCTCCTGGCTTCCTTCCCTTTCCAGCCACCGCCCTCCGCCCCCTCCTGGGGCCTGCAGAAATGTAGTTAGTCCGTACCCCATACCTCGTATGGCTTCCGCGCCACTGTCCCCCCGGAACAGAGGGAGGAGTGGTCTAGCTCCCTTTATTTTCCTCAGTCTTTTCTCACCCCGACTCTCAGATTGCTTAAGATCATCTCCGCGGGCTCCTTGCCCCGGCGAGCCATATCTCCTTACACCCCCAAGCTCCCCTCATTCCCCGCCGAACACACTCAGATACACTCACCCGTGATCTTATCACCTGTGATGATAGTCCTTGGCGTCCACCTGGCCAGTGGCTTTTCAGCTGCCACTGTGACAGACTCTTGAGCTTTCCCTCAAGCCAGTAGCTGCTGTCTCCACTTAGAACTTTCCTCTCCTCCCACTCCTAACAGCCGGTTTTGGCACCTCTTCCCAGCACCAGCATTACTTTTAGCAGGAGTATACCTACTTCTTGTCTGTCTTGATTAAAAGTTTGTTAGTTTGTGTGCCGTGGATGGGCTGTGCTCTTTCAGAAAGGTGTCAGTTTAATTTTTGTTTTTCTGAACAATGAATGTTCGCATCTCCTAGGCGCTTTGATAATCTTGTCTGCCTTGGAATCTGTACTGACCTCCCCAGAGGGAGACTCTTAGACCAGCCTTTCTTGAACCACCTTGATCCTGGGGAGCAGCGCCATATCCCAGGCTCTCCCTTAGAGTCTGGGGTTAGAACTGTTGTTTTTTCTCTATCCACGCTCTGCAGGTGACACCCAGGGCAGCTACACTCAGAAGCCACAAGGAATGCTAGTGGAGCCTCTCATCCCTCCTAGCTTCTCTTCCAAGCTGCCCCGTGTGGCTTGATCCAGGAAGCTACTTAAGAAAGGTTGTGGGATAGCCGTGAGAGGCTTGTTGGTGGGAAGCGTGTCAACGCGGAGCAGTCTTGGAGAACTTTCTGCTGTTACTATCTAGCATAAGAGGGTGGGCAGGGTTGGAGAGAGGACAGGAATTTTTCCTCCTAGGACCAAACACCTGGGATTCATAATCTTTCACCCTTTCTCCTCCAGCTATACACTTTTTGTACTCTGTATATATTATATTGCAGTAGACAGTCATTCCAAGGGTACAACAAGGTTTACCACAATGTGAGGGACTCAGCCATTACAAATTGTACGATGAGGTAAGTTACAGATTTACATTTTTTTCCCCAGTTAATTTGGCACAGATTTAAAACGTGAAACAGTTCTAGACCCCTTGCTTTTGCTGTTCTCTCACCAGCAAACCCTTTAATGTAACCAACAGTGGCTTTCTTCATGAACTTCAGATTTACTGCGTTTGCTTCAGGTGATGGTTCTCAAACTTACTATAAGCACCTGAAGGACTTGTTAAACACACATTGCTGAGGCCCACCCCTAGAGTTTCTGGTAATAGGTCTGTGCTGGGGCTTGAGAATGTGTACTTCTAACAAGGCTCAGGTACTGATGCTGCAGATCTGGGTTCTTTACTTTGAAAACAACTACCTTTTGGCCAAATGTAATATACACATTGCAGCAGGCTGGGGTTCAGAAGACCCTTGTTTGAGCACTTCTGTGTTGGAAACCAGTAATCTGATCTTTTGTGGATAATTTAATCACCTAGGTCTGAATATTTTGTTCATAAAATTAAGAACGTGTACTTAAAAAACTGAATACTATATGCTAAATTTGAGGTGAAATGTTGATGAGTTCTTCCCCCTGGTTTTCTTAATTCTCTTGATAGGGACGTCACTTTTTGATCATATATATAACACCTGTATTCTGGGCTTTTGCTGTGAATTCCTAGTATTGCTAAAATCCTGCTGTTTCTTAACTATCTGTTAAGTTCCTTAAGGTCAGAGCTTCTGCTTTTTTTGTCTTTCTCTGCCCAGCACCTTGAATAGTGTGGGACACAACTGATGCTCAGTAGATACTTGTGGATTGATCTCCATCCCTTGTCTTTCTCCCCTCTTGAACTTTTTCTCCCCTGACCTTATGCTATACCATAAAGCAGGATATGCTTATGCCACCTGATTACCCCAAGCGATTGGAATGAATGCTAATGCCAAATTCCTACAGCTATCCCTGTGAATGGTTTATTACCCTGATACCTGCCGATTTCTGAATTTTCAGTGTTTCTAGAATATATACAAGTTGGGGAAGGAGAAATAGAAAGCTTAATTAAACTCAACATGCATTTATTGGGCACCTTTTCTACTAAGGGCCTGACAAAGTGGTAGGCACTGGGAATATAAAAATGAATAAGGAGACCCTTGCTCTTGAGGGCAGGGCTAACAGTGGGGAGACGGACACTAAGCCATGCCCACGGCAAGAATGACTTCTGGGATTACTTCTTTGGGTCATGATTTGGTCTTCAGTGGAAACCTGGTACTCCTCAGATTCCTCTGGTTCAGCAGGTGGGGATCCCATCCTTTATCGTCTCCTGAAATGCAAGGGAGCCTTGAGCAAAGCAAGAAGGAAGTCATCCAGACATAGAACAGGGGGTATCCACACAGGATGTGTTAATTACAAAGCTAAAAACAAAGTAAATGACTTTTGAATTTACTGCTGTTATGAGTTATCTATAGCAAAACCTCAGGTCAGCTCTATTATATATGATATTGGGTTATTTCCCATTAAATGATGGTTCCTCTGATGATCTGATTGGCATTGACCATGTTCATTGTAGGAATTGCATACATTAGTTTGGCTGCCAAAAGAGAGCTGTTGCTCTCATCAGAATGGGTGTCAGGTTTGATGTCCCCTCCTTTACTTACTTCAGGTTAGTTTGTGATGTTGTTTTAAACTGAGGTTTATACATTGACCTGCTTTATTTAGGCCAGTAACTGCTTTGGGGTAATTTTCCTGAAGGTTAAAAAGCCTAGCTTTGTATGGAGGCTAACCAACATGACCACGATGGTCAGGTATATAAATATGGCCTCTTAAGAATCTGTATTTGAGGCTGGGCGCAGTGGCTCATATTCTGTAATTCTAACATTTTGGGCGACCAAAGCAGGCCAATCACTTGAGCCCAGGTATTTGAGACCAGCCTGGGCAACGTGGCAGAACCCCATCTCTACAAAAAATTTAGAAATTAGCTGGGTGTGGTGACATGTGCTGTAGTCCCAGTTACTTGGGAAGCTGGGGTGGGAGGATGGCCTGAATCTGGGAGTCAGAGATGGCAGTGAGTTGTGATCTTGCCACTGCACTCCAGTCTGGCAACAAAGTAAAACCCTGTCTCAAAACTTAAAAATTTGTATTTGGCCCCTAGCCCTCAACTCTTGAGTAAATCTCTCTCAGTATCCTAGGCTGATACATTATGGCCCAAATCCAACAGAGATGCTATATGTCCTTGTTCCTCTCAAAGCCCCTCATCACCATCAAAGAGCTGGTCCAGTTCTCCACCTTTAGATAAAGAATCATCCCAAGATTCAACATGAGCTGCTGCTGTGACTTGTCCAAGATGACACATCTTTACGATGTAGGGCAGGGGACAGACCACAGGTCACCCTCCCCCGAAGGCAGCTATCTACTATCTGGCATTGCCTCTTAGGCCTGCCATATATAAAACCACCAAAAACATTTTAATTAAGAAGAAAGTGAATTATTATAATTTTATTTTTAATTTTTGTGTTCACATTTACTCTCAATGATATGTTTATTCCTACCTAGTATCTTGAGGCTAACCATAAGTCTACAGCATTTCAAGGTGGAAGATACTTGTGTCTTAGCTTTCACTGACTTCCTGTACTACCTCCTACTTATTTGACCTCTGGTTCTTTCCTCCTGTCTTCCCTTTCTCTATACCTTATTCTCTTCCTTTGAAACCTATTGTAACAAGTTTTGAGCCATTTCTCCCCTTGCTATTCAAATATTACTTTTATGAAGAGAAAAAAAAACTTAGGCGGCAAAAATATTTTACAGAAACAGTTTTAAACATGGTTTGAAGAATACTGATCATGTGTTAGAAGGCCAAAAGCCAGGGAATGTGTTCCCTTTCATTCATTGTGTCATCTAGGTTAAGTTTTCATAGGACTTCTTGGTACACCAAGTTCGCCTCAAATTGTCTCCTGCCAATTACAGGGAGTAGACAGGACTTTGATACATTGGTAATTAGAAGCATTGCTGATACGGTCTTCAGTGGGAGAACCTATGTTTAAGGTTCTGTCTCATCTGTATTCCAACACTTCATAAGTGCCTCCAAGACAAGAATTGTTTTTTGATTTACCGTGGTTTCTTTGACATAACAATAAACAGACCAAGATTTTCCTTATGCAATCTATTTTTTTGTGTAACTAGGATGAAATAAAGAACCGTTTGCTTATCATTTAAATCTTGCCTTCTTCCCAAAAGGATTTCAAATAGCTTGAAGGAAAAACAAATGAAATATATTGAGCACCTACCCTATGCCAGACTCTATGCTGAAGGATTTCTATAGGTTATTTCATTTACTCCTTAAAACAACCACATGCGATAGGTAGTAATAGCCACATTTTTTAGGATAAGACAGGCTTAAGGAGATTGTGTTACATGGCTAATAAGCAAGGTCGGGAATTCAGATCCAGCACTCCAAGGCCCCCAACCTTATATGGAAAGCCTAGATAAAAGCTTGCATATAGGACAATTAAGAATAAAAGAATATCTCCATTAGAAGGATTGTACTGGGCTAATCTTTCATTTTAAAGAATAGCAGCAGCATTAGAAAAGAGCAGTTAACAGATTTTATTACTGGATTTCTATTCTAGAACACTGAGAGGAGCTGTTGACGGGCCCTGGTTAGCCCTAGCAAGCAGTCATATTAAAATTCTCAAATTATAGGCCTGCATTAAGGTAGAAAATAAGAATGGGGACTGGAAGGAATATAAATATCTACTAAATGTAATAATTTCAGTTCTGATCACTATTTTCTTCTGAAGATTGTTTGCCAGTAAATAGGCAGATTACTGGCTCTCCTTTAGGTTGACAGTATATGACTACAGACTGCCATTTATGGTCCAGAGAGATCACCCCAGCTAGTAGCATTTTAAGGCAGAGAACTAGATATTCTTTCATTGCCTGTGGTTTTCTGTTCTTCTCAAGAGCTTGGGTCTTCACTGCCATGTGACACCTTCAGATAAGGGGCAGAGACAGCTGGGCTCTGAGGACTGCACAAAGGTCTTACCTTCATATCTTCTCTCCAGTCCTATGTTTTGTAGGAACACACACTGAAGACACTAGGTTGCATCTTTGCAGATACTGTTTTAGTGTCTTCTGGAACCAAGCCTCTTACTTAATCCTGGCCTGGTTTCATATTCTCTCTATTGTATTCTCTCTCTAGTTTTTATCCTACTCTGGAACTCTTCCAGGGACAGACATTGAAAAAAGATATTAGAACAGCAAAGGCAACAAATTGCAAGATATACTTGTGGCATAGTACATCCCATTAATTATAGAATAAAAACACAACATCTGTTTTCTGCCTCTAATATTTATACTTGACAATTACACAACACAGTTCATAAAGCTCTCACATCTCAGATAATCACTGAGTTAGGAGAGTGGTTATCTGCAGATGGCTTTACCTTTTACAAGGTCTCTTGTGTATGTTACTTCATGAAACCCTCAAGGAAGCTCCAGTTTCTTGGGGATCTGGGGCTGGGTCGTGCATCTTTGGATACCCAGTTTGGTGCTATGCACAGAACTGCTGTACCTCCTATTCATTTCTCGTCTTTTACCCACCAAGACTCCTTCCTTCATTCCCTCGATTACTGATCTGTTTTCCTTCATCTTCCTAGGCTGCCAAAGTAAATGCAAAACAAGCAACAGAAATCTCAGCTTGTGACTTCTGAAGGGCATTTTTAAATGGCAGGTTTTGTGTGGCGCTGTTACATGTTCTTTTTTCTTTGGAGAGCAAAGCCCTCTGAAAGCAGGAACTCTTTTGTCAATGTATATGTTGTAGGATCCATACTCTGGAATCTCTTGTACCTAGTGCTGTATGAAAACAATGAGGATTCCAAGTCTACTTCACTGGATGTCTGTTCTCAAACTTTTAAGATAGTAAGTCCTTTTATTAAGCCAAAAGACGTTATATATTAATTCTGTCTTCCAGGGGTAGGAGTTGGGGCGGGGGTTGGACAGTTTTGTCTGGATAAATAATCAGTATTGTAGTTGCATTTAATTATTTGATGTCTGATTTTGTGCTTATTAAAATTGATTTACATCCTCAATGGAAAATGATTTTTTTTTTCAAATGCCCAGTGTTGTGTGACTTGCATTTGGATTATTCCCAGTGCAACCTGAAGATTCTTGTGATGAGTTGTGGTTCCATCACCTCGGGAACCACTAAGAGAATTCCGTTACAATCCAAACAATAAATGTTTTCTTCCTATCTATGCCTTTATCCAGCGCACAGTTTGCTAGACAAATGATGAATATGGGTTAATATGACTTGGTATCTATCCTTTTGGAAACAGACTTTTAAAACCTTACTAAGCGTTTTCTGCATTCTTCAAATTTGAAATGAGTGCCTGCTGTGTGCCAGGCATCGCGCTGGATGCAGCATGTCCCTGCCCTCAGAGCTTTACAGTCCAGTGAGTTCAACAGAAGATGAACAATTTTTATGACACAAAAAATAAACATATATGTGCTGTTGTGGGGGAGATACTAGTTCCTATGGAAGCATCATCTGGGAGGACCAGAGAAGGCATCTTGGAAAAACTGAGATCTGAAAGATGAGTAGAGTTAACCACGTGAAGAGGGTGGAAAAGGGTACTTCAGACAGGGGGAACAGTGTCAGGAAAGCCCAGGAAGGGTATAGAAAAGAAAGACAGTAGTTTGAGCAGTGGCTTTCAATGGGATTGGCAGTCATGGAAGGAAAGAGAAGTGGTGGGGACCAGGTTTTGAAGGGCTTTGTGTATCAAATTTAAAGAAGTTTAAATGTTATCCTAACGTTCCTGGGAAGCCTTAGGCAGATTTTGTGTGTTAGGAAGTTCACCACTCACCTACTTGGAGTATCCTATGTGGAGCTAATGTGGATGGGCCTCCTGCCCGTTATTAAATCCTGTGCTTGTCTGCCCATCTGCCCATACCCTCTCCTTGTCTTTCTTAAAAACTAAAGGAAAGCGTATAGGTTCCAGAAGGAAAAAGAAATAAATGCTAGAAGAATAGCATTTACCATGGCCCAGTGAGATTCCAAACCAAAATAAAGTTTCTAGGGTTTGAGCTTTTAATACTGGTACTCCAACAAGGAGATAGGACTTGGGGAGCTGATGCAGTATGAAAGTTTTGGAATTGAGCAGCCTGCAAACCTGGACCTTTGAAAATCTTCCTACTGACCCAGGAAAAGTACAAGGAAGTATATTCTCCAGAGCCTTGGTTAGGCTGAACATTACTTGAAGGCATCAGTCCAAATAATACACTAAAAACATTATTCAGGAACACCCTGAGAAATTAACATCAAAACTGATTTGGCCAGGCACGGTGGCTCAGGCTGTAATAACAGTGCTTTGGGAAGCCAAAGTTGGAAAATTACTTGAGAGGCTAGGAGTTCCAGGCTGTAGCAAGCTATGATGCACTACTGCACTTCAGCCTGGGCAAGAGAGAGAGTCTTAAGAATAAACAAACTGATCCAAGATCATTGAAACCATTAGCATTTAGGAAGAAACAAATGAAATTACACTCAAGGGGCTCACATTTACCAGGGCTCTGAGGACTCCCAAAGTAAAAAGATTAAAAAAAAAAAAATACAAGCCACTTCAGAAAACAAACCACCATGAGGTAGAGATAGCAGAGGAAAAATCACACAGGAAGATCTAGGAATCAGGGAACTATCCACAGTAGGCTATGAAAGCATGTTGCAAGTGACTGAGGATAATGAAAACAATGTCATAAGAGCATGAATTAAGAGGGTTTTGAGAAAGAAGAAAGATAATATGGTCATTGACTATAAACTCATTTGGCGGGCAACAACAGATGAGACACAGCTGTTAAAGAGTGGATCGATAACCTTGAACATGGATGTGAGGCAGCTGTAGTACAGTACAAAAGGGTTGAGAAATGAAGGAGCCCTTTAGCTGCTTGTGAACACTGGTCTGGAACGGGGACAGGACCAAGAAAACCAGTCATGGAAGTTGAACTAAGTCACCTCTCCAGTGTATCAGTGCCTGTTACGTGCCAGTACTGTTTAGGTGCAGAAGATATTGTAATTTTTTTTAAGTTGCTATTAATACCTTCTACTGGGTCATAATGGCTCAACCGCGGGAATGGCAATAGAGATGAAGAGATGGAGGGATTTGAAAGGCGTTTTTTAGAGGGTGGAATTAACAGGATATGGTGAATAATAAAAAAGATAGTAAAAGCATAATGGAGGAAACAGGGGTTCTTCCTGTTAACAATAAGAAAAAGCTTCGGAGTAGTTTTATTCATTTTAAATGCATTTATCGTATACCTTATTATAGGTATTGGAGATTGATGGAAAATAGTACCTGACTTCAAAGAGTTTCACAGGAAAGATAAGCGATGGCTATGTAATATGACCAATACTATGATAGAAAGGTGCCCAGGTTGCTATGGGAGGACTTAGGTGATTTCTAATCATGTCTAAGAGTAGGGGAAATGGGATCAAAGAAAACATCTCAAGACATAAAGTGTTAGCTTATGTCTTGAAAAATTTTAAAGTTTAACCTAACCAAGGATAAAGAATGAGAAGAAACATCATGTTCAAAAGCTAAAGAACATGGGACTCTTGTTTGCTTTCCATGTACACACGTGTGTGTGTGTGTGTGTGTGTGTGTGTGTGTGTGTGTGTGTTGTATGTATCTGAAAGGATTGGAGAGGAGAGCAAAGAGAATAACAAGATGAATGTCAAGCTAATGTATAATACTTTGAAGTTTGTATTTCACTTAACAAGATAGCAGGGAGTGATGGAAGGATCTTAGATAGGAAAAGGACATGAGCACATGTACCAAGAGAGCTCTTTCTGGTGATACTGAGTGGGAATGTGAAGGTGACAAATCTGGAGGCAGGTAGCTCGCATTTGGAGGCGGCTGCAGTCATCCAGATGAGAAGCGAGAGGAACCTAAGCTGTAAATCGCGGGAATGAAAATGATAAGACCCGTTAAAAAGAAACAGAACACACTCTGTAGCATGGAAAGGGGAGGGGTGAAGGGTGGAGAGTAGTCTATGCAGAAGGAAAAACCTTCAGAAAGATACGGAGGCTGAAAAGGCACCCTGTTGTAGAGAGATCAGCAATGCATTTTTTATAACTAGGCAATACAGGGAAATGATAGGATCTGAAGCTTGAAAAATAGATTGGGGGCTGATTGTAAAGAGCTTCATGTCATTCCCAGGATTTGGAACTGATCTTACATTAAAAAGGTTTTGTTTTTAAATATTGAGTAATATAGTTGAAGCTATAAGAATAGCTGGTGCCATATTATAATAGCCATCACTCTTCTAAGCACTTCACAGACAGTAATACGTTTAATCCTTACAATAAGCCTATTAGATGAAAACCATTATTATCTTCCCTCTTGTAGACAGAGAAACCAGCCTAAGGAAAATGAGAACTTGTCTATGGTTCCACTGTGGAAATACCTAGTAAACGATAGAGCAGGATTCAAACGCAGGCAGTTTAACTCCAGGACTTTCGCTCATAACCTTCCACACCTCCCTCATGGTTGGTATTTCTCAACCATGGATACACATTAGAACTGCATGTAACATTTCTAAACATACAGTTGCCTGGATTGACTGAGAATCAGAGTGTCTGAAAAACATTGTGTGGTACTGTGTTTTGCAAAACCTCCACACATAATTCTGATGCACTTTACTCATAGTTGAGTACTGCAGGGATCTTGGGAAGTTACAGTAGTAGTCCAGGCAGGAGATGAGGGAGGCTCAAACTAAAGCGGTCTGTAGGAAGGAAGAGGAGGGAACAGATTTGGAGCCTTTAGAGGTGGAATTGGCAGCATTCACAAAGTGGAGATACAGTATTTTCTTGTGGAGTATGAACCTTGCCTAGGACCATACCTTTAGTTGATTATCCTCTCCCAACTGGATCTGTTGATTTATGGCTATGGAAGCTGGGGAAAAGAGGATTTAAGCATTTGAAGAAGTTTGTGTAGAGGATTATGATTGAACTCAGACTGTTGTCCTCAGTTTCATGCTTATACTATTGTTTGTCTTTACTTCTCTACCCAGGGCCCTTGGGAGGAAAAATTGCTGTGTCCAGGCTGAGGCTGGGGGCTAATGACAGTGTGAGCTGCTCTAGATGGTGTGAGACCACCCTAAGCCAAGAAATGACTACAGCTGTGGAACCAGAGGACCAGGATCTTTGGGAAGAAGAGGGAATTCTGATGGTGAAACTGGAAGATGATTTCACCTGTAGGCCAGAGTCTGTCTTACAGAGGGATGACCCAGTGCTGGAGACCTCTCACCAGAACTTCCGACGCTTCCGTTACCAGGAAGCAGCAAGCCCTAGAGAAGCTCTCATCAGACTCCGAGAACTTTGTCACCAGTGGCTGAGACCAGAGAGGCGGACCAAGGAGCAGATCCTAGAGCTGCTTGTGCTGGAACAGTTTCTTACCGTCCTGCCTGGAGAACTACAGAGCTGGGTGCGGGGCCAACGGCCAGAAAGTGGCGAGGAGGCAGTGACGCTGGTGGAGGGTTTGCAGAAACAACCCAGGAGACCAAGGCGGTGGGTGAGGAGGGGGAGTCCTGATCTGTGTGATGTGGAGGGGGACTATTTGCTGGAAGGCTGGATTTGGGGGGAGGGCTTACAGGATCCCCATAAATTAATGGGCTCTGCCCTTGGATTGCTCATAGATCCATGAGCCCCATGGATTAGGGGGATGTGTGTGTATGAGTGTGACTTTCTGGATTTTGGAACACCTATGTAGGGACCATCTGAGGGGTCTCAGCCACCAAAGGGTCATGGCTTTGGTTTTCCCTTCTTTGAGCATTGTGCCTTGGGTTCCTGGAGAGAATTTTGTGACTTCCTCAGAGGTTCTCATAGACCCCCAATCACAGATCCCCCCTTCCTGGCTGGTCAGCTAGGGAAACAGTCAAGGAGAGCTACAGTTGGGACAGGTAGAGATGGGAAGGAGCCTTGGGTTACGGGGGCCAAGGCTAGGGAAGGTGAGAGAGCAGCTCAGGACTGCACGCTCCCTACCTTGTCCTGGGGAAGATAATCTTCAGCTCCTCCTGCCTGCTCCAGTGGAACTGGAGTTTCCCTTCCTTGTCTGGGTCCCTCTGGGTGTGTTTTCTCTAGGCATCTCCCAAAATAAGCCCCCATGACAGCCAAGAACTTCCTCCTGACTCTATGGTGACTGGAAGTTGGAATTATTCCCAGGTGACTGTCCATGTTCATGGCCAGGAAGTCCTGTCAGAGGAGACAGTGCATCTAGGAGCAGAGCCTGAGCCACCTAGTGAGCTGCAGGATCCCGCGCAAAGCTCAACCCCCCAGCAGTCCCCTGAGGAAACCACACAGAGCCCAGATCTGGGGGCACCGGCAGAGCAGCGTCCACACCAGGAAGAGGAGCTCCAGCCCCTGCAGGAGAGCGGTGGGAAGCCTCACCAGAAAGGGGGGACTGTGGCAGAAGGCAGGCAAGGAGGGGGACATTTCTCCTATAGCAAGGAACCTGGGTAGACTGCATGGAGAATCCAGGATGTCAAGAGGAGACAGTACCAACTAGAGCCCCCCGTAAATAGGGCCAAGCTTAGATAGCAACATTCTTGCTTATTATCTTGGCATTCTGATGGTCTTACAGGTGGTGGGATTGGAATATGGGAGCTTAGGCCAGTTTCTTGGTTCACATTATAGGAAGGATAGGGCCACCTTCGTGCCAAAGATGGTGAGGGATGTCCGGATTTTTGCCCATTATTGGGGCATGCTGCATATTGCTGATCTTTGCCTTCTTTTCTTCTTAGAGGTTCCAGTGCCCCAGGACCCAGACCTTCCTACAGAGAGGAGCTCTGGAGACTCGGAGATGGTTGCTCTTCTTACTGCTCTATCACAGGTGTGCCCTAGTTTCCTCTGTACCACAGAGAATTAGTTTGAAGAACCACTGGGCATTAGCCATACTGAACAGGTCAGGCAGGATGCACATTTATACTCTTGTCGGTTTTAAGCTCACGGTTCTCCAGGCACCTGGGAGCAGGGGAGAAAAGGGAGAAGACAATGAGATAAATTATAATATTCTCTATTGGATCCACAGGTGCCAAAGCCTATTTATTTGCCATTGACTAGAAGAACTAACAAAATGGGATTATTTTGTAACACTCCAGTACAACTTTGAAGTTGTCAAATGAGGGTTTTTTAGTTTAGCTTTTTTTTTTTTTTTTTAAAGGAATAAATTTGATAGTCATTTGTAAGAATGACAGACTGGACTGCTGAGACATTTATGAAGTATTCACCATGGTCAAAGTCCTGAAACCAAGCCATCTGGCTGGAGAAAAAAGGAATAGAATTCATGTATGGTTTTAGATTGTAATCTAACTGAGGAAAAAGGTTTTCTTTTTGCTATAGAACATAGAAACCATTGAAAGTGATTAGAGTCGGTTAGGTAAAGTTTACTAGAAAAGATAAATTTTGCAGAAATATAGGTAGCATTCAAGTGTCAAGTAGGGAGCTGAATGATGATTTTTAAGACCTTTCTTAAATTTTAAACAATACCTTGAAGAAGAACATAAGCTGGTTCTCAGGGAAAGTGGTAGAATTGGTGGGGGCAGGGCCAGTGCAGGATGCTAGGGGAATGAGTTTAGCAGCTCCCCTGAGAATAAGTTTAAGCAGCACCCCTCTCAAGCTCCTTTCATCTCCTAGCTGAAGTCTACCTACTGTATGACTTTCAACAGGGACAGAATACAAGGCAACCTGGAGCGTCACATTTTGATGAAATCCTTATGTGGTTTCAGGGACTGGTAACGTTCAAGGATGTGGCTGTATGCTTTTCCCAGGACCAGTGGAGTGATCTGGATCCAACACAGAAAGAATTCTATGGAGAATATGTCTTGGAAGAAGACTGTGGAATTGTAGTCTCTCTGTGTAAGGAATTTCAAGTATTCTAGAGGGTTCTAAGCACAGAGATCTTTTTCCTGCTGGAAATTTTGGGGTATCTTAGGCCTTAGCCTGTATGCAGTGAACTTCTCTTATATTTTCCCCACCAATAAAATTGAGGGATTAGGTGAAAAATATATGCTGTCCTTCAAGTAAAAGAAAGAAAAAATGGTTGGAAATGGAAACCTCTAATAGGAAAACAAACTTGTAATATTATAGCTTTAGTACAGAAATATTTGAAGTAAGCACATGAGTTTCAAAACAAGAGTTGGAGATAATCGGCTTTCTTGAATATGGGAAAAGAGGATAAGGTTACAGGAGTGTAATTATTGAATTGCAGGTGAAAACCATAAGAAAGGCAAGAGATATGCAGTACTTGGTTAAAAGTACACAAGCTAAAGAGATGAAATATTTAATCACCTGACCTAGCTATGTATTTGCTCCACAACGTACCAAGTAGAAAAGGTCCGCTCTTAACACAGGGAATTGTTGAGCCAATCGTGATATCCTATTTTCCCTCTCTTGAGCAGCATTTCCAATCCCCAGACCTGATGAGATCTCCCAGGTTAGAGAGGAAGAGCCTTGGGTCCCAGATATCCAAGAGCCTCAAGAGACTCAAGAGCCAGAAATCCTGAGTTTTACCTACACAGGTGAGGAATGACAAAAAGGGTCTTACCCACCCTGAGCTGGCAGTTCCTCTAGGCAGTGCTTCTCTCTCTCTGTAAGGCCCCCCTCTCATCAGTTCTTCTAACATGTCAGCCGGTACTGCCTTCTCCCTCTGACAGCCAATTCTTCTATCATTTCCCTCCTCTTTTCTCCTCCCATCATTTGTCTGATAGCAATGTAATACAAAAGGGTAAAAGAAAATTTTTAACTTGTGGAATTGCAGCCATACCATTTCCTGTACAATTCCCTTAACCCCTCGACTCTCAATCTCTGCATTTATAAAATGAGGATTATATTTGTGCATACCAAGGTTTGTTGATAGCATAACATATGGGAAAGTGTTTGGACAGGACAGGGATTCCATTGAGTCTTTCCGTCTCAAAACCCTTTTAAAAAATCTCCCCATTGTGTAGAAGTTATTGTTGCCACTACAGTGACCCCTATTTTCCTCTTGCCCCTACAGTGACCCCTATTTTCCTCTTGCCCTTTCTGCAGGAGATAGGAGTAAAGATGAGGAAGAGTGTGTGGAGCAGGAAGATCTGAGTTTGGACGATATACACAGGCCTATTTTGGGAGAACCAGAAATTCACCAGACTCCAGATTGGGAAATAGTCTTTGAGGATAGTCCGGGTAGACTTAATGAAAGAAGATTTGGTACAAACATTTCTCAAGTGAATAGTTTTGCGAACCTTCGGGAAACTACGCCCGTCCACCCACTGTTAGGGAGACACCATGACTGCTCTGTGTGTGGAAAGAGCTTCACTTGTAACTCCCACCTTGTTAGACACCTGAGAACTCACACGGGAGAGAAACCCTATAAATGTATGGAGTGTGGAAAAAGTTACACGCGAAGCTCGCATCTTGCCAGGCACCAAAAGGTTCATAAGATGAACGCTCCTTATAAATATCCCTTAAACCGGAAGGATTTGGAAGCGACCTCCCCTTTGACCCAGGCTGAGAGAACTCCATCTGTGGAGAAGCCCTATAGATGTGATGATTGTGGAAAACACTTCCGCTGGACTTCAGACCTTGTCAGGCATCAGAGGACACATACAGGAGAAAAACCCTTCTTTTGTACTATTTGTGGCAAAAGCTTCAGCCAGAAATCTGTGCTAACAACACACCAAAGAATCCACCTGGGAGGCAAACCCTACTTGTGTGGAGAGTGTGGCGAGGACTTCAGTGAGCACAGGCGGTACCTGGCGCACCGGAAGACGCACGCGGCCGAGGAGCTCTACCTCTGCAGCGAGTGCGGGCGCTGCTTCACCCACAGCGCAGCGTTCGCCAAGCACCTGCGAGGACACGCCTCCGTGAGGCCCTGCCGATGCAACGAATGTGGGAAGAGCTTCAGTCGCAGGGACCACCTCGTCAGGCATCAGAGAACACACACTGGGGAGAAACCGTTCACGTGCCCTACTTGTGGAAAAAGCTTCAGCAGAGGGTATCACTTAATTAGGCATCAGAGGACCCACTCAGAAAAGACCTCCTAGCTAGGTCCCCATGTGAGGAAATCTGCTTTCAGCCCTCACCTAAGGGAGGTGAGGAACAGGAAAAGCCCTCTTGTCAGCCTGGGAAGACCTTTTCTAGGGAGTCTCCCTGACCTGCCCAGATCCGACATCACCTCTTCCGGCAACTAAATACAAGCCTGGGCAGAACCTCTCAGCCGCCTTCTATGCCTTGAGATGTTTCATCCAAAGTACAACCTGAATTGAGGCTTCTCCTTCACTAGAGTGTGGCTGCCTCTATCTCGTGGTTGTGAAGTAGGAAAATTAAAAGACTTAAGAGGTTGTGGTTACTGTATTGTCCAAAAAATAGGCTGTTACATATCCTAAAGACTGCTTAACAGCCTCGAGTTGAAAGTGGCCAAGGACAGCCCCTTAGGTTTGGGAAGGGACCAGCCTGAAGGATTCTGTCTTTAGAGGGCTCAAGTCTTAAAGCACACAGCTCTGAACTCAAGACAGGAGGTTTGCGTCCTGATGGCTTTGCCACACATTCACAGGATGACTGTACAAACCCCTTGCTGTCTGATTCACTTCTTACCATGCACTTTCCTTTGATGCTGAGGAGAAATGGAAGCAGGCAAAAAAAATCTCAAAGCTGCTTCAGGTGGACCTTGCCAAGCTGCTCCCTCCCCCAATGTCAAATTGTTATCAGGTGCCAAACACTGCTAGAAAGGAGGGCCTAGTCGGAAGCCTCTTTCCATATGGGTTTTGGTTTTGTCTTTAATATTTTTTCCTATTAAAATACTCATGCATTTAACCTTCCCATTATTCAGCCAGTCTCTTGGTTTCGTCCCTAGCACTTCTTCTACAAGTGAGATGGTAGCGTTTGAGAGCTTACTGAGGAAAGCACAATTCAGTCAGAATGAAATCATTCACATTCCCTCATATGCACAAGCCCACCCACCCTTCGACACCCCCTTCACAGGGGTGGTGTGAATAAGGGGATTTGGGAACAGTGTCACCTTACAAAGGCACTATAAGAATTACAGAATCATGATAGCCATGGGTCACGTGAAGACAACTGGAGAACAACTAAGACCAAATTATGGAAAATAAGAAAAAGCTGTTGCTGGCAAGACCATCAAGACTATTCTGACACCCTGTCCCCATCATCCCTGCCTGAGTCCTCTGACATCATGGGAAGTGTTGAACCCCAGAACCTGGGACCCTGAGGAATTCACCAGGAGTAAATAGCTTTCATGTATTTGTGGTGGTTGCTTTTTCTTACGTTCGTGTAACTAAGAACTAAAAAGTAGCATCTCATGATGGCCCAAGGATCTGTGTTGCCTAAAGATTCCATGGAGATGAGGCTGAATAATTATGAACCTCACCTGCTCTGATTGTGGGAGTGGCAAGGACTGGGGAGACATCTTCCATAAATGGAGCACAGGGTATGGGGTTAAAGCATGAGAGGGAGAGTCTTCTGTGCCTGGTTGCTTCTGCTCTATCTCATAATCCATTATGGGCCAGAGGAATAGGGGAGAGTTAATAAGACTCCAACTCTAATGGCCCAACAGGGAAATTCTCATTTTGGTCAATGATATTCTGATGGACTGATTTGGTATTAATACCAGTCAACCATTGTCCTGGAAATATACACAGATGAAATAAATAAAGGTAACACTTGCAGCCAAGTTCCCTGGTTTCTGGGACTTCCCATCTTACCTATTCGTTTTCCAGGGCTTCAGTGTCCTGATATTTCTGAGGGTGATTCATACGCAAATAAATCTGGGAGTACAGAGTCTTTTTCCATAAGGAAGGGAAGGCTTGGTACGATTAGCAGAGTCAGGTGAAATATACGCACTCTGAGGTAAGATCCAAGTCTGGAGTTTGCAGAAGATGCTGTCCTAATATGAAGGCATTTCTCAACCGTATATCTAAGCCGAAGCACAGTTTGTCCTGGGTGAAATGTCACAGCCACAAAAGATACTTTCTCCTAGCTTATGCAGGTTGACAAAATACTGGCGGTGACAGAACAAATTGATTTTTTAATTCTCTTATTTATTTGCATTTAGTCCAATAAATGAAAATCTGTTGAAGTTCTACATGAGAGAAAGCTTGAGAGGCTGGGCCAGTTTGTTGGAACATCAAAGAGTCCTATTGCTGATCTCCTTGCAGAGTTTCATATGCTGACACTAAATCTCTCGTCCCTTTTGTAAATTACACAATTTTCTGAGGTTCTTGGAGGGACATGTCTCCCAAATCTGAACAAACAGAACCACGGTTTGCAGCAGCAGGGAAGAAGCAGGGCAGCTGAATGTGGGCAGGGAGGCTGGAGCACAGGATGTGTATTCAGAGGGGTCCCCTCTAGTATCTTGTAAGCAGTAGAATTCTGGCATCCTTGAATGCCTACTAAATAAGTTTATGAGGGAGAAAATGGCCAGATTTTTAAGATATTATTTGGAGGAAATTAATAAGTAATCTACTTAGTTAACAGAATTGCTAGGTTGTTGGAAATGATGTGCTAATGAAGTATGAAATTAAAAATGATAATATAAGGGTATTTGACCAGATAATTTAGGAATAACCAAGGAATATTTAACCTCGTCTCCACAAACTCCCAAGAGAAATAAATGCCCAAGAGATAACGTCAAAATATACTTTTATTATCTGGGACTTAGGCCTCCTATTCCAGAGCAGAATCTAGTAACCTCAGATGAACTCCATGAAGAATTTCATAAATCAGATTGACATCAAGGTGCTAAAAGCAAAACCCACTAAGAAACTTGTTACCCACTTCAAAGCACAACTGAAGTAATGGATCTATAGAAGACACATTGTTTCCGCTGAGCAGTAGTGTAGTAGAGGAGAAAATGCCCAGTGAGTCCCACCGAGAAGGCAGAGACACATGGTTCTGGTCCCCTTCAGCCAAGGCTGCAGCCTCTGGACCACCCTGCCATATGGGAAAAATGAGATTATATTTAATAAATGAATGACTTAAAAAAATTTTTGATTCATCAGACTGGCTGGAAGGACAGCAATCCAAATGAGAGTTTCTGGGCCCCATAATAGTTTTCTAGAATGAAAGCTGAACTGAGAAATGGTAACTGATGGCATGCTGGGCAGGTTAATAATTTGGTACCCTTCCACACCAGTATTTTAAAAATAGTTTGTTTTACCTCTAGCATCTCCCTTGGCTGACCTAAATATTCCAGCCACAAAAGCTGAGAGGAATATACCTACCATTATTTCCATCTCCTTATATTTCTAGTGATGCTGGCTCACCGACCCGCTATTCTAGTTTATGAGAGAGGGAAAGACTAAAAAAGCCAAAAAGTAGATGCACAACCCATGTAATCATTAACCTTTATTATGGCAAAATAGCTGATACAATGTTTCAAATGTGAGCACATCTCCTTGGAGGTGGAATAACTTAGTTGATCCTTGGGGAAGTCCAGGGGATCAAGCAAGGAGGAGTCCACCTTTCTTTAGACACCACCTTTGTTATCCTTAATAACAGAAAGAAACCAAGTGGTTGTCAGACCAGCAAAAGTAAAGATATTTCTGAATGTGCAATTCCTCTTGTCTTTAGGGTATGTGAGTATGCACACATGCACCTGTTTACACCGAGGTTTCAGTCAGAAGGAGGAATGCAATTCAAATTCTAAAAAATGAATCAATCAGCACAAACTAGTTTATTTGGTAATCCATAAAGATAAGGACTCTTCAGAGCAGGTTGAAAGCTAAATAATAAAATTGTAGGATTAGGTAAAGACTTCCAGAAGCTGTAGTAGCAGGTAGTTGAAGCAAGAAGATTCAAATGCCATGAAAGAAAATAGCCAAATCTCCACTTAAATAGAAAATAAATCTTATGTTCTCTGCAGAATGTAACAATGCTGCAAAACGGCCATTTGCACAGGAATATAAACAAAACTGCAGATTCTCAGGGTTTCCCGTAAGACAACTTCTCTCTGCTCTTCCATTTGTGTTTACTTCATCAGCTGTACATCTTATCTCCTAGACAAGTCCAAGGGACTACTGAGGGTTAGAGAAGGTTTCAGGAAGAGACCTACAGCAATTGCTTGGTGCTTGGATTCATTTGCTAAATCTCAGCAACAAGTCTACAGAGAAGCAGTTCCAAGACAAAAGAGCTATGGGGCAGTTGCATAATCTATCCAAGCAATGAGGAGTACACCCTGAGTCAAGAAACCAGCTCAAAAGCAGAAAACTGGATCAGTAAATAAAGGGAGATGATCCCTGCCTCCTTCAGTAACCCCAACATGATATTTTGAAAGGCCCTCCACTAAAATACAACTACAGTTAATACACCTACAGTTTTAATAAATTACTAAAATAGAGAATAGAAATAGGATGTAAGTTGGGATAGGGTGATCTGAATTTAAGTGTTTTAACATTAATGAACTGTTCAGGACAAAAGCTGTAAGATATTGGTTAACCTCAACATTGTTAAATTAAGTGTGCCCTGTAGTATCAAAGATACTCATCATAAGAATGGAGAAAGTAATTTTCTAAATACTGGAGGGAAAATAGGAATTAATATTTTTTTCAAAAGTGGGACTAACTCAGATTGTCTAAAGAAAGGGGAAAAAAAGCATGAAAAGATGAAAAAATAGAACTACTAAGATGACAAAAAGTCAAATATGTGAATAAAATACACTAGTAGCTATCATTTAAGATAGAGATTGTCAGAGTGGGCAAAAAAAAACATAAATTATAACAATAGGATGTATACAACAGATATACAAAAATATAAGAATAGTGAAAAAATTTTTAAAGTGAGGATATACCAGGAAAATACTGTTCAAAGAAAGCTAAATTAGTTATTCTAATATTGAATAAAAAATGTGTTAAGCCAAAGCATTATGAGAAGACCTCTACATAATTAAAAGTTTAATCCACGAGGAATATTTAACATCTAACTTTCTATGTGCTTCTGGCTATATAATAAAAATCATTAGAATTACAGGAAAAAATGATAAATTTATCACTTTAGTGAGCAATTTAAATATACCTCTCCTAGTTATTGATAGGTCAAGCAGATGAAAAAATAGAATAAATATTTACACAAATTAAAAGAATATGGAAAGAAGATAACCGAAGAAAGTTATAATAAGATCTATATAATACGTTAAGTAAGCTAGTTCTTTGAAAAGACTACAAAAACCTCTGGCAATATTGATTATGAAATGAAAATATAGAAATACACTAAGTAATCAGCTATGGAAAGGGTAAATATGTTGATAAATATAAATCAATACTGATTGTATAAAGTGAATATAATATGAAAATACGTGTCAGCAATAACACATAAGATGGAGAGAGTAGATGGAGTTAAAACATTTGCAGGTTCTAGCATTATTGAAAAAGCAGAAAAAGACTATTTTGTGTTCTAGACAGTAATAATTAAAAATATATGTTGTGATTTCTAGAGTAACGACTAAAACAATAATAACCAAACGTGTAACTGACAAGTTAGTAGAGGGAAAATAATGTAGTAAAAAATTAATGCAAATGAAGCTAAAAAAAGAGAAAAAGGAATATAAAACAGGTGGGTCAAATAGATGCCAAATAGTAAAATGGTAACTAAAACTAAAATATATAAATAATAACATTAAATGTACATAGATTAAATACTTCAGTTAAAGACCGCATTATTATATATGCACTCACAGTCATGTAGCACACAACAGTTTCATCAATGACAAACCACATACACAACAGCGGTATGGAGCTGAAAATTTCCTACAGCCTGCTGATGTCATAGCAATACATTACTCATGTTCACAATGATGCCGCTGGAA